AGTCTCCTGCCTCAGCCTCCTAAGTAGCTGGGACCACAGGCGCCCGCCACAATGCCCGGCTATTTTTTGGTCGCAGCCGTCGTTGTTTGGCGGGCCCGGGCCGGATTCCAACCCACCACCTTGGGTGTATGTGGCTGGCACCTTAGCCACTTGAGCCACACGTGCCGAGCCAAAAAATCTACCTTTATGTAATGATGAAGCAGCATTGGTTCTGATAGAAAATTCTTTTTTTTTGAGACAGTGTCCCAGTATGTTGCCCTCGGTAGTGCTGTGTTGCTCACAGCAACCTCAAACTCTTGGGCTTAAGCGATTCTCTTGCCTCAGCCTCCCAAGTAGCTGGGACTACAGGTGCCCTCCACAGTGTCCAGCTATTTTTTTTGTTGTAGTTGTTGTTTGGCAGGCCCAGACTGGGTTCCAACCTGCTAGCTCTAGTGTATGTGGCTGGCGCCCTAACAGGTCTCGGGCCAGATAGAAAACTCCTTATTTGAGAAATATAACTTACTTTGTTGAAACTATCAAAATGGATATGTCTTCAATGCTATTTTGCTAGAAGTTTTTCAGAATTAAGATCTTTAGATTCAGACAAGGAAAAACTTTAGAAGCATTACTGTTTGTTTCTTAATTTGAAGGATACTGGACTTTATTATGACGAATATCTCAAGCAAGTGATTGATGTGCTGGAAACAGACAAACATTTCAGAGAAAAGCTCCAGAAAGCAGACATAGAGGAAATAAAGGTAACTGTCATTAAATAATTACTTAGCAAACATTTGGGCATGCTAGGTACTGTGCTTAAGTGCTGGGGATACTTAGTTCCTTAAGTGGTGGGGATAAGATGAAACTTATTCCCAACACTTACAGAACCCTGAAGCTAAAATCACATCCAGAAATAGATTGTTAGGATGGATATATGATGAATATATAACATGTTGTAGAAATATAGAAGACAGACACAAAATCTACCATAACACAGTGGGGACAAGTAGAAAACCATCCTTCCTGATAGAAATTCTGCCAGAGTTTAAAGATGTAACTGAGAAAAGGAGAGAGACTGGGAGACATCCCAGACTAAGGTGCAAGGGTACTGAGACAAGAGGTAATGGGAAACTGGGCTACTTCCGAAGTGGGAGGTGGAAGCCATGAGTGGCCAAAAGATGATGTTAGAAGGAATCTTGGGCTAGATAACAAACGGTCTTATTATGTTAAATGGCTTGGCTCATGATCTGAGAACAGCAGGAAGCTATTCAAAAGTTTAGAATAGATTATTAGGTTCTGGTGTTTTAATCAGGTCCAGATTAACAGAATAGATAATGGGCTATATTTTATGTTAACGGGAAGTGTAACCATTTACCTCTGTCCTAAGAACCCTGTTAGACATAATCCTAGCTTAGATAGCTCTTTTGAGTTATAAAGATGTGACATGACGGATTTTTTTTAAAAAGCCTTTTGGAGGGAAATAAATTAGTCTAGCTGGGTTTATCATAGATGGAGTGAGCAAAGTTATTTCCAGTTAATTTTGAACTTTCAGTTATGACTTCTAAGACTTTGTTATTTGCTTATGTTACCTTTTGTTTGTTTATAAATGTCTTAAAAGATTATCTTGACTTCTTCTTGAATCAGCATTAGAGACCTGTGTCTAGAATCAGACCAGATCATTCTGGGTCAAACATTTTTATTTGAGTCTCTATCTCTAGTGTGGACCTTTTGAAAGACTAACTCTCATCAGGGTCTGGTGTCTATTGAAGCTTTTGTATGATTTTTAGTTCACAGCTCTCCTCTTGGGAACGGTAAACTGGTCTGGGGAAAAGGTAACAGTGTTAGATTGATCAGTCCCTTGAATTGTCTTTGAGGATAATCTTATTCTTCCTCTGAGAGATTAATTTGAACTGTAGTCCTAGTTTCCTAGGATGAATGATATTTAATGTAGAACTCTCAATGTCTCCTATCCCCTGAAATTAGGATTAAGAAATACATTATTGGCTTGGCGCCTGTGGCTCAAGTGGCTAAGGCGCCAGCCACATACACCTAAGGTGGTGGGTTTGAATCCAGCCCGGGCCTGCCAAACAACAATGACGGCT